AAGGAGAATAGAGGGCCAAACACTCACAAGGGAGTGTCACTCTGAGGGCATCGTTTCCTGTGGCAGAGCAGTGAAGCATGAAAGTTGTTTCTAAAACACTTTCAGGTAAATAAATAAAAGCAAAGATCAGTCTTCTCTTGCCTTGTGGGTGTCCTGTATGGAAATCAAAAGCAGCAAGCTTATGCAAAGCTAAAAGATGAACACTGTTAAATTATCAAAACACAATGTATCTAACCAACTACCTTCAGGTTGAGCTGCAAAGCTTCGTAAGCATTCTTCACATATAAACAACCATAAATGATCAATCCAAAACCTCAGCTACTTACTCACACACCAACACTCTCAGTCAACAATTCCAGTTTCTTTGAAGATGTTCAGATGTACTAAATTTAGGGTGCTGAGACACTGTTTCCATTTAGCATTACTCAGGAAGGCCCGGTCCCTTCAAGAGAATGCACTTTCCCCCTCAGCTGTATCATCCAAAAGGCAGAGTTCTGAAGTCAAGACTTAGAAAAGAGTCCAAATGGGAAATTCTGAAGCACAGTCTGTCACCACATGAATCCACTATTTTGAATCATAGGTCAGCAGAAATTAATTCATGTCCTACAGCACTATACACAGTAAAACCTGACAATGCCAAGCATATATCCCACAAACACAGTTTTCTGCAGCTACAGAAGACACATATCTACGTATAAGCTGAAAATCTTTTAGGATGTAAACATATAAGGACAGAAAATGGTAAAGAACATGGAAGTGTCTATTTTGCACTGCTTTAACTATGCAGTGCCCTGAGGGTGTTTCTTAATAATTTTATTCATAAATGTATTTCTGTATTTAAGATGAGAATCAAGCCCAGGAGATAAACGTATAGTTCAAGTAGAACAAAGGGCTGCATACCTCACATAATCTCATATTTAGCTTTACTCATCGCTTGCAAGCCTTACAATATGAGAAATGTACTTCCTGCTAAATAGAATACACTGCCCTGTATAGGCTAGAACTCCTTCACCTAGTCAGACAGAACCTGGGAATAAAAAGACAGTGCAAAGTCATCTAATTCTTATTTCACCAACTTGAAAAGATTCAAATATCTGCTTGACTTTTATACTTTATGCCATCCATTTGAACATAATTTAAGTAACAGCAATATATACATGCATAGTAATGATCTCCTGCTTCCTTCAGCTTTCCTTCACCATGACAAAGGGCTATAAAATACACTTCTTTGTCTTTGAGATATCTCCACAGCAGCAGAGATGGTTTTCTACAACAGTATCTTAAGTTATGTTGACTTCTAAATGTCACTTGCCTCATCTTTTCAGATCAGTTCCTACTAGTACACTTTCCTTCGGGTGTATTCAGTCACCAGCCTTGAACACCTCCTTCCCAGTTAAATTATAGAACCAAGGAAACAATGCTAATTCAGGAGAACAGCAACGGCCACTGATCCAGCTCCCAGTCCAGGCAGCTGATGCTTTTTCACTGCAAACAGGACCAGACTACACAAACAGCCCTCTGCAGAGATAAGCAGGCTCCCATTCACCCCTGCTGCCTGGAAGTAAACCAGATTTCTCACAGCTATCCCAATGGATAAGCAGAGTCAATATAAAACAAGCATGCAATGTGCCGAATATGACAGAGCCCTTCCTGCCACTGCTAGGGAGCTGGATTTTCTTTTCTAAATACCAAAGTGACAACAACAGTAAGAAAATACACAACCACTTAAAAATATTTTACTATATATATGCTTTGTATTTGCATAAATAAAATTACTGAAGAAAAAAGCATCAAGATGTATTTTACCTGGACATCATAGAGAGCTACAATGTTCTCGTGCTGAAGTTCCTGTAGAAGAAAGTATTTGTATTATGGAAATAGCCTGTTCTTATTTTAAACGTAATATGCCAGGTAATGCTCAAAGAGTTTTACATCTGATTATGGAAATCTAATTTAGACTGTATTCACAGCAATAGGAAGTTACACAAAATATTCACAGGTCAAATACCATTTGTTTCCACAATTCATTTGCTATGTGTTGTTATAGAAAGTAATACAGCACCAAATCCTTCAGTGACTGCTGAATTTATAGTCTAACACATTTCTTCCTTACAGGAGTAACCAACTATGCTATTTTCAAGCCAACCCTCTTATTTTACAATAAAATGAAATTCAAGCCAAATAACACCAAATACAACTTGCATGACAATTCATGTGATTATTTGAAACCACTTAAAACAAAAGTATCTCTCCTTGCAAAGCACTTGTAGCATATGAATATACCCAACACTACTATTTCTAGCACATAACATATGAACTAGAATATACATACTGGCGTATAGAATAGAATGCACCTCAAGAAGCTTAAAAACAGCACAAACATTGAAATCAGCACTAATTATTGCTGCGAAGCTATGTAAGATGAGATAGTGAAGTTCAGAGAATGGAAAATGACAGAAGAATACCTAAGGAGATGTTTCCATAAAACAGAATTTTAGAACTAAATGTTGTTCTATTTTCCTCATTAGTGCCACACTGAACTTTTAAAGTCAGTTGACTCAGAATGGGAAGGCTGCCCCAGGAATCACATTCAGTACACCCCTTTCAGTTCCCAAGGCATCTTTGACTGAAAATAAAAGATGAAGAATGATGGAAGACCTCTGCTATAACTTTTGTTACAGGAACTGCTTGGGAAAGATGTGACACTACCCACCCTGAAGGACAAACATTTCTGTATGTGCAATAAGTGGAGCACAGATGCTGATCCTACAGCAATCTTCCACTTGTAATAAAAACATGCCCTCAACGTGCTCTGAGACCATTTCCAGCACTAAAGAACTTTTTTTCTTGGCCCCTTGAATTCTAGATTTTGTCTGAAGCAAGTAAAAGATACAAAAGGTACAGCAACAATTACAGTGATACCACTCCTGACCCAAAATGAACTGCACCAAAAGTCTCTTTTCCTTTTCAAGCAAAGCAGCTTTAAAAATCACTGTAATTAACATACCTTTAAGATTTTAATTTCTTTTCCAAGTAAGATTTGTGATTTTGACAAGTTCTTTTTGTTAATGCTCTTTATGGCTACTTCCCAATCAGTTTTCTGCAAGCAAACAAACAGAAAAGTATTATCAGCTTTTATTTTTGACTTTATCCACTAACAAGAAGCTAGCAAAGCACTAAAGAAACAGCAAGATCATCCCTACCCTACCCACCACTGATTACTCCATCACATGACACCATCAAGAACTATTTCATTCCACAGTAGTTCAGGCAGCTATTAAGATCCAGCTGCTGCCAGACTGCATTTTCATGAGTTCAAAAGCATTAAAAAAAAAAAAAGATTACAACATAAATAATCACATCCCATTTGTCCTTCAGTCCCCTCCCAATGACGAAGTTTCTTCTATTCTTTAAGGACTTCCCAGCCTCATCCTTCTTGATCTCCACAGCTGAAAACTACACAAGCACTTGGTTTTTGAGCAGAAATACTGCCTGCTTCCTGCCTATTAATAGAATTACAGAATCATTAAGGTTGGAAAAGATCTCTAAGATCTACTCCAACTGTCAGGGCACCGAAAATTGTGCCCTGCACCATGCTGCTATGTACCACATCTACGCATTTCATGACCACCCCAGGGACAGCAAGTCCTCCACCTCACTGGGCAGCACATTCCAGTGCCTGACCACTCTTTCTAAGAAGAAACGTTTCTTACGATCCAACCTGAAGTTATCTGTAATGCTTATTTACGCGTAAGGTATAACCACCTCTGTTAAGCTTTGAAGTTTCTCACGTTTTCTGCTTGTGCTGTGTCCATAGGAGCTGCAAGCACTCTCCAAAGGCTCCTAGTGGAGGTCTGCTTTGTGGAAGCGCAGCGTTTGAGGCACCAAGCCCAGCATAAACTCACACAGCACCAAGAAACCATCACCTATCTATGAATATCCAGCAGGAAACCGGACCCCTGTGGATTCCAGGGATCCTCAGCCCAACCCAAAGGAGACAATTTCCCATCAGATCCCTTCCTCGTATAAACACGACCTCCTGACAAACAAAGGGCTCAGCTGCACCTCTCCGCTCGTCCGAGGAGCGGCCCAACAGCCGAGCGCACAGCCAGGCTGCCGTATCTCCTTACGAACGGAGATAACCGTGCTCAGAGAGCAGCTCGCCGCAGGCCCGGCCCCACCGCATCCCTCAGCAGCACAGCGAGGCCCGGGGCTGCTCCCACAGGGTTGTGTAACCGCCCCACCGCTGTTTACCTTACGGTGGCGACCTTTGAAGACCACAGCGAAGGCTCCGTGTCCTATCAGGTCCTTCTTGCTGTACTCAAAATCCCCCACCACCTCCATCCTCCCTCGGGGGTGGGCATGAAGCCCCGGGATGAGAAGCGAAAACAAAAGGGATCGGGTTTTTTTGTTCTTTTTTTTGTTTTTTCCTCCGGCAGAGGCACTACAGCCGCCTCCTCAGGGCAGCGGGCGAAGCGGTGGGAGCCCGCCCGGCTCCTGGCGGCCCCCGGACGGCGGGGCAGCTCCTCTCATCGCGCGGGGGCGGCCGCGCACCCCCGTGCCGAAGGGGCCGCTGCGGGGCGTCTCCGAGGCGAGGGGCTCCGTCTGGCATGGGGAGGGCGGAGATGAAGGGAGGGAGGCTCTCGGGGCCGCGAGGTGAGGCGCAGCCTGCCGTCTCAGGGCCCGCTCAGCCGCCCCGCGCCCTGCCGCCGCCCGCCCGCATCGCCCCGACAGCGCGGGGGCTGCGGGTCCCCTCAGGGAGCGAGCCCAGCAGCATGCAGCAGGGCGGGGGCAGGCGCGGCCCGCGGCTCCGGGGCTGTCGCCGCCTCACCCCCGCGGAAAGGAAGCCGCGGATCGGAGTCTCTCAGCCTGTCGCTTTCTCGCGGCGCCCGGCGGCTCCGACTGCCCGCACCTCCGCGTCGCCGCGCGCCTTTTCTAGGTCGCATCGCGCAGGCTCGGGAGCTCGGCTCCTTCCGCCGGCGGCAAAGAGTGCCTCACCCCGCGTAACCCGGCGGGAAGCTCTCCGCCATCACCTCACGGTGTTCGCGCGCCTCCGTCCCCACACCGGCTCCCGCGGGAGCACGGGTGGAAGCCAAGCTCGAGTTCCAAGCCCCCTCCCCGTTCTGTGATTCTGTGATTCTCCCCGTGCATGGAAACGGCTTTTAACGCCGCTTACGTTTCCCTTCGTCCGCCTCAGCCCCACCTGCGGCAGGACGAAGCTGAGGGGCCGGCGGGAGAGGAGTTCTGTGAGGGAGGACGGCAGTTGGGAGCGCAGCCCGGCCCTGCTGCCTTGGGAAGCCGCACCGCGTCAGGCCTACAAGGTGCTTAAACGGAGAGGTAACGTGCAGGAAAAATGCTAATAAACGTGAATGCTGTCAGGCAAAGGCACTCCTCAGGTTGCTCGCTCCTTTTACAGCCGCTGGTTTTCCCTCACAGCACTTTTAGCCTTGGGCCGCTTACAGCAGCACGTTCAAATATTAAAAACCACCAGCGGCACGCACCAGTCGCATGGAGCCTTTGACCTTCGCCTCCAGCTCCACATAACTGCGCTCCTTTGCTTCCATTCCTCGCTGCTTTCACTTCCTTTCCCTCTGTGTTGTCCCCCTGTGCCACCTCAGCATCCAGCTTTCACGTGTATGAGCCACTTCAGGACTCCCAGATATCCCCATCTGCCCCAATCCCGCTGGCACTCTGGTCTCCATACAATGATTAACCCTCCTGGCCGCCCAGAGTGCCTTGGCACTGCCCGGGTTTTGCTGTGGTACATTTGGCTGCACTCGGTTGCAGGCAGCACACAGTGCACTTCGTGATCCTGCAGGGTCAGAGCTCAGCATTCCCATGATATAAGATCTGTGCTCAGTGCTGCTAGATGGAAATAGTGACCGAGCAGAGTTATGCAGTTATTTTATAGAATCATAGAATGGCCTGGGTTGAAAAGGACCATAATGATCATCTGGTTTCAACCCCCTGCTATGTGCAGGGTCGCCAACCAGCACACCAGGCTGCCCAGAGCCACATCCAGCCTGGCCTTGAATGCCTCCAGGGATGGGGCATCCATTTCTCTCATTATTCTTTGTATCTCACTTTGCTTACTGTAACTCAAAACCAAGAACTACGGGAGCGGTGCTCCATGTCAAAATCTCCACAGCTAAAGACTTCTCTACAGGCAACGGATCTGGATTAAAAAAATATTTAGCAAAAGATACTGAAGGGAATATTGACATCTTTATGAAGGACATTTTAAGCTCTAAATGTTATATAGAGGCATCAGAGAGATCATAAGACACTATTTTTGCCACAGAGAAGTAAAGGGCTTTAACAAACCCTCAAGACCAAATCCCACTTTAATTTTCTGAAGTTCTCAGCAAGATTCCTTTGTGGCACTAACCTAACAAACAAATAAACAAAAAGTGAAGCTGACCAAGTAATTTCAGCTGCTCAGAACATCACTGTGGAAGGAATAAATGAGATGTAAAAATATTCCAAGTTAATCATAAATTAAGGTGTTGGTAGTAACACAAACGCTTTCTAGCATGTATTCGCAATTTCCCTTTAAAACCAGTAAGAAAATGTGTTAAATATCCTGACTCAGAAAATGATTTCTCTCAGAACTGGCTGTTTTCTGCCATTCACTGATTCTCACATTCAGTATCAATTCTCCCAGTATCAGCACGCGTCTTCACCCCAAAGTCTAACTCACAAGTTGCATTTTTTATGAAATATTTAAAAAATTTTAGAAAGACCCCTTTTGACCTGTGAAAGCCACTTTAGGAATTTCTAAGCCATCCACTCTGCATTACATTTCAAAAATGAGGCACATCTCCCTTTGATAGCAGCATGTCTGCCGTCCTTTTGTCCTCATAATCAGGCTGGAGCCCTCGAGCAGGTTTGTTTTAGCACAGCAAGGACAAAACAGCAAGGAGCAGCAAGGAGGTTTGACTGGAATAACTAAATACATTGGCGTAGCATTGAGATTTGAACAGGATCTGAAGGGCTGTGAGATTTGCATACAGGTCACTCATTTGAACTGGATCTTCGATTAGCCTCTGGGAGAGTTTCAAGGCGTCAACATTTCTGGTGCTATCAGACTACTGCAAACCTATTTACAAACAGCACCTTCGCTTGCTTTTGCTGCTGAAAGAGGATGGAGCCAAGTGTAATTGCCCACCACTCCTAAAGGGAGCTTAATTACTGGAGATGTTGGGAGAGCAGTGCACAATAACCCGCAGGGATCACACTGCTCCTCCCTCCCCCATGGAATACACACAGATATTCACCATTTAGCACTAACAGGCGGCAGCAGCCCTGCAGCACTCAGAGGGATGCACTGTTCTGCTCTGACAAGCCATGCAGCAGGACAATAAATTATCCGCTGCCCTCAAAAAGCGTGGCCAGGCAATGGGCACCAGCACTGTGGTCAGACAGACCACAGCGATTCTTCAAAAGCACAAAGAGCTGCATGCTGAGTTTATTTCTTTAATATCTTACTGTGCGATAGCAGGAGCACATTTATACAGCCCACCAGCTAGCTGCAGCTCAGCAAGGACAACCAGCTTACAGGGTCAAGGAAAAGAAAACATAAAATAACATTACTGGAAATGCATTTGTGGCTCTTCCCTGGCTGCAGTACATTCATTTGGCCAAATTAGCCCCTCAGATGTGGGTTGGGACTCCTGATCACAAGAGGCAAAGATCTGGGAGGGAGATAGCACCTTCCAAGTTGCTTGTCTGAATACACGAGGGAAACGTGAGGAACTCCTGCCAGATGAAAGCACTATACAGAAATCACTGTTCCGAGTTTCCATACCTCCTTTTATCCTCTAAAGCGTTGATGATCTTTACTGTAAGCCCTTTTCTGCCACATAACAAAAACAGCCATTTCTGAGAAACACTACCTGAATGGTGCCCAGACTGTCCCAGCAAGAAGCAGAGAGAAGACTGCCTTTCCTAACATACAATCAGGATGATGCTGATTTTCTTCATGTTCTAAAGATTTTTATTTTATTTTTTGCATCTCTCCCCAGGCAATCAGTATGCACATGGAAGTTAAATTACTGATCTGGGACAATAATCAAGGAATCAGCTGAGTCGAGGAGAACATGAACATGTAGCTGGGAGGAACCAGAAACTGAAGAGCACAACTTGCACACCACTTAGCCAGCATTCCTGCCTGGGTAAGCAGAACACACAGCCCTGAGAACAACTTTCAGAAGGATGTTCAATGCCCCACTTATCTAAATCTACATCCAGGAGATAGGATCCCATCACCCATCCTATTCCACACAGCTCTAACCCAGGCAGCCTACTTCACTCCAGGTGCCTCACTGTTTTCTTCTCTCCTTCCTTCCCTCCAGCATACCTAGGAAGTCAATCAAAACAGGTAAACCTTTCTCAGACGACTGGCATGCTTCCCAGTCCTTATCACCACTGTCCTCCTATTGGGGATTTCAAACAATATTAACGGTGGCATAAGCTGAGCTATCACAGCTTTTAAAGGAGAAAGTGTCAGAGGGCTCTGTGGGAAGAAGCACTGTGTCAGCTAGATATGCTTGAAACCATTCTTACAGCATCAGTGAAAAATAATGTCCTTCTGGTAAGCACACGTGGGTGGTACAATTAATAAGAAACCTGGGCAAAACTGGAGTGAATTACAGGAAATTCAGTATGTGCCACTATCATACGGTGTTTGAATACTTCAGGTATTATGGTATATTTTTTCTAAGTGTAACGAGGTGGATCTCTGAGCAGGCACAAAGAAAGAGCTCAAGCCTACATTCTACATTTGTCCTTCAACCAAAAGTAATATCTTCCCCATTAACAACACTACCAACACAAACCTGCAACTGCAATTCTAAAAATTAGCTAATTAAAGCTCTAGTCATCAAAGGAGCAAGAGTGACCAAGTGCTACTTTGTGACCTGCCAGAAAGGAGCTGCCCTGATGGGAAAGGCAGCAGCTGATTCCCAGCACGTAAAAGAAGTCAGTAAACTGCAGAGCAAAGCCCAGGAAATGCTGTTTTCAAACAAAACTGGGAGGAGTTTTATGGGATTCCTTGGGAATGCAGCTGGAAATGGGCCAGCACTTAGAATGCATGAAGGCTGGTAATGTATAAATGATAGAAATAGGAGCTGCTTAGATAGGAAAATACTGTTTGGTCTACGTGTGAATTCATCACATGATATTATTATTCAAAATCTACCCACTATTAGGTCAAAAAACAGTTAAGACTGAGATAGCATATTTTGGTGTAAAATTGCAGGTCCTCTCTTTTTTCAAGAGTTCTTCTCATTTTGCTTTGAAAAACCTTTTTGCACTACCACTGAGGAGGTGAGTTTTAGTCAGGCTCTGTTTTGTGCCAAATATCATAGAATTGGACACTGAAAGGATGGCAGGAACTAACCTAGGTCAGGAGCGTGGCCAGGGGGCAAAGCAATGGCTTTGGTTTGGAAGGCAGGATAAGGGAGCAGTCAAATACAACCACGCCTGTCCCTGCAGGCAGAAACATTTCCCCCAAGCTGGATAAATCACCACTTCTAACACAAAACACATTGTGGATGTGGGGCATAGCAACCTTGTATGGTTCCTTGCAAGAGGAGGCAGAGAACAATGCTCTTTCCACAGAAGGAGCAGCAGAAGGTACCACTGTCAGCAAGTCAACATAGGGGACAAAGACAGAGCTGACCTCAAAAAGAAGAGTTGTTTCCCCTATGAAACTGCATAACAGACTTCTTGGCAGTGATAGGAGCTCTGCCAGCTACAAGCATGCTCCCCTCCTTCCAAAGGGCACGTTAGTCTGGATGGGGAAGAATTATCAGCTACAGTTTTACATCACCCTCTGCCCTAACCTTTACCTTAGCAAATTTTGAAGGGTTTTGTTTACACAGATGGACACAACATGGCCTTCACTTCCAGTGAGAATCTGCTAGAGGAAGCATATGAGTGAAAGAGCAGGTACAGGATATTGAGTTCTTCCCATAAGATAGAGTCAAATGATACAACAAAAGGAACCACAACTCATGTTTTCAGTCATACTAAAGATGTAGCATTTTTTCCAGTCTTTTGCTGACCTGAACACTTGCAGAGATGCAAATAGTCATGACTGCAAAATCCTCTCTTAATTATCCAAAGCAAATCTGTCAGCAGGAATAAAGTTCTAAAATGCATTTTCTGCAACTGGGAAACAAACTCCTGAGCTGCAGTAATCACTGGGTATCAACCACAGTATGAGAGCAATGCAGAATGTTTTGGTCTTCGAGCTAATTTACTGCAATGAAATCTGACAACATATTCTCTACTCTCTATTAATTATATCCCAATTTTCACTGAATTGACTTATAAAAAGACTCACAAGGAAGCTTACAAATATATTACCAATAGTGTGAATTCCTCTCACCCACTGGGCAAATAAATACACTTGAGAAATTCCAGAGAGCCAACTCTGTGCCATTTACAGCCCTAGCTCCGCTGTCAAGCTCGTATCCAGGGCAAGGGCCATACAAAACCCAACGTGCTGCTCCATCTTTCCCCTTCCCCACCCCTTCTTTACTTCCTCAAGTCAGAAGTGGAAGGGAAACGAGCACCCTATTCAAAAGGGCAAGTGATTCATTTTTGTATTTCCAAGAGCCATTGAGACCTGAAAACTCTATGCAACTCTTGCAGCAATTTGAAGCTGATGCCTGTTGCTCTCAGGCCTGAGTGGATGGGCAAACGAGTTAGCTGCTGTGGATGTGGAGAATCACTGTCAGATAATGCTTGGCACAGCTCACGAGTAAATGGGCCATGTGGAAAGGCAAAACCTTACTGGAATAACGAGAAGCCCTGAGACCATGTTCTCAGCAGATCTTTGTCCCAGGCATGCAGCTGAGCACAATTCTGCACTGTAATGATGTGGTGTATTTTTCTCCTCTTCTCCCTCTCTGAAGGTCACACAAGGACAACCCTTTCTGTTCCCACTAAAAGCCTTCTTGCATGCAGGATTCTTCACATGGGAAGGAAGAGCATGATATGTCCCCACCCCTATGTTTTTCCTTTTCAAAGGGTGAGGCTACTACAAGGCTGAAATTTCTATAAAAAGGAGGCTGAGATGGAGGCAGATGAGATTTCCTTCTTGTAATGCTCAGAAGAAAATGATCCTGCAAAGCACAGCTCTTACTAAGAACAGAAATTAAAATTTCCTTAAATAAATATAAGGAAAGAGTCCACGAGGGATAGCAGCTGACAGGAACAATGAGACACGTCCAGGTCAGCCCATGTTGTCCATCGCCTTGCAGATCTCCCAAGCAGATTGAGTTGATGGGCAGGGCAGCTTAGGACAGGACTGGTGGCTTCGTGTTGCTGCTCCTATCTACGCCATCTGCAGACAGAAAGAGCTGTCAAATCTCTGCAAGGAAACTGCAGCTTTGAAGGACACGTGGAGTGGCTGTGACTTCCTCATTGAGGGACCAAAGGTTACTTACATCCGTAAACACTTATCTTTCCCTCCACTCGCTACCCTCTGTCCGTCTGGGCTCCAATCTGTTGCAAAAACCTAGCGTAAGGAGAGACCCAGTTAGTCCTGCTGTCCTGGAAAGAACAGACATCCCCACTTCCAATAGCCCAGCTTTGACTGGACACTCACCTCATCTGCATGGCCAGGAAGATCAATGGCCAGTTTCTTTGTCTCAGCATCCCAGACCTTCAGCGTGCTGTCGCTGCTCCCACTCACCAGCAAGCGGCTGTCGGCTGACCAGGCGATCTGATACACGGCTGAGACATGTCCTCTCAGTGATGTCAGGTACCTGAGGCAGAGGTGGCACAACCAAGCGGTGAGAGGAGCAGGCACCCAGGTTTGTCTCAAACCCACTCTTGTGCTGCCTTCGTGCTTTTTCATCATAGAATCATTGTTTTCTAACTGCAATCAAGCCCTGCCATAGGATGCCTAGCACACTCCTTTCCTGCACGCACAGGGCAGCCAACTGCTATACAGAATCCATTCAATATGTCTTAAATCCCTCCAGATAGGTTCAGACCCTTCTAGTGGAAAGGCTCTTCACTTCAGTTCCACCACCAGCAGGCAATGCTGCAGCCTCACTTTCTCTCTCTAGCTTAACAGGAACATGCCAAGACTTAGAAAGACCACTAAATTACTGACACAAAACCAAAGATCATAGGTATAAAGACAGAACAATGGAAGGACTGCTGCTCCATAAAGCTAACCAATACTCCATCAGGAGGTTAAAAGCTGGATTGCAGGGGCACCCAAACACCAACAGCATCACTCATAGCTACGCAAATTTCCATCATCCAGAACAAGCTGTTCCCTGGCACGGGCACTATTTAAACTGGGTCACTCTACAGTGTGCAACGTGCACGTGTCTTCAGGAGAGCAGTCAAGTGGAACATCCCACCCCACTACAGCCACGCCTGCCCCAGAGAACCATCCCTGTAGCAGGACAGCATGTGCCACTTGGGTGCAGTGCTGTGGCAGAGCCACCCAGCCAAGCAAAACCATGCAACACATGAGGAGCCAGACAAGGAGGACCTATCAAGGGCAGAGAGTGACAGCAGTAAAGCAAAGAGGCAGACTATCACACACCAGGGAGCTGCTGACAATGACAACAGGGTGCTGCTGATCTCTGCATAACCTGTGCATCACACACAGACCCAAACACCACCTCTGTAACAGAACAAAAAAAACTCACTTTCCTGTCCTGCCCTCCCAGAGCTTTATTGATTTGTCAAAGGAAGCACTGGCTATTATCCGGGTGTCTGGTGAGAAGAGGACTTGGTTAATCAATGCCTGGTGACCTGTCATTCTCTCCAGTGGCTTCTTGTCTTCTGCTGGCCTCCAAAGAAACAGTGTGAAATCATCTGAACCTGAGACGAGCCTTTCTGGTCCCTGGCCCTGAGAAAGGGATGAAAGAACTCAAATTTTGTACAATCCAGCTGTGGAATGTTTGGAAACACACCCAGTGTTGGGGTCAACAGCCAACTGTGCATGTTTACTGCTTCCACCAGCACTAGTGTTATAAACCACAGCAAGGACAAACTTTCTAATGGGACTTACCCTGACTTTATCATACCTCTGCTGTGCCTTGTCCTTCAGTTCTGCCACTGGAAGAGAAAAAGGGAGAAGGGTAGGAAAAGAGACTGGAAACTGTTGGGGGAAAAGCAACTTTATAACCTTGATTTGCCAAATACAGTCCTGGCTTTGTAGGCCAAGCAGACATATTGTGACTGCTCAGCCTATTCCTCTTTGCCACGGGCCACTCTGCAAGCAGAGTGGCCTTGAATTCAAGATAGCCTTCCCAGCTCCCAGACTGCTTAACTCCATGCACACACCAGAAAGATCATGGCTGTCAGCATGAGCAACATCAGCACAAAGTCTCCTCTTAGATTTCAAGATTGCTTCAGCTCACGGCAGCGTTAAGAAGAGACATCAGGTTTTCTCTTCCACATTCCAACACAAGGCTGCACTTACAGGAGCCACTCATATCCTGTGGGTTGATGGTGGCTTCAGCAGGTTCAAAGGCACCAGTGCGGAGAACGTAATCGGTGCTGAGGGCCATGGTGTTCACCCAGTGAGCGTGGCCTTGCAAGGTGCGGCACAGGATGCCCTAGAAACAAAACCACCCACTTAGAGAGGGAAAGGCAAGACAGACAGCTATAACCTGTGCCAGGAAGAGCAGGCAAAGTTGCATCCAGCCCCTTTTGTTGGCAGGTTGTAGGGCTACCTGCCCCACTTACATCCTGGCTTCTCCAAACTTTGATAGTTCTGTCTTGGGAGGAGGAGTAGAGCAAGCCATCGCCTCCCCACTTCACACAAGTCACCGACTGCGTGTGGCCCGTGAGGATTTTGTCACACCTGCCCATCAGCGTGTCCCAGATGCGGATGCTGCCATCCTTGGAAGCACTGGCCAGGTAGCGGCACTCCGGGTTTCTGAGCAAAAAGAAGAGAAAATCCATTTGCATAATGCACACATCTGCTCCACAGAGATCTCCCATCAGTTTCAGAAGATTTAAGGGCAGAAGTCAATAAAAGACAACTTTCTCTTTTGGGTTAAGACCAGAGGGAGGCCAGGAAGTGGGCTACAGACAGCAGATTCTGCAGATAAAGGAACAGCAGGCAGATGCATCCTTCCAAACCAACTGTTGGGCTGTACCCTGGAAGCACTGATCCAGTATAAACCCAGCTCCTGTGTTTTGAGTAATTACTCTGTTATTACAGGAGGCAACTTTAACCCACTGACTTATGAGGGGGACCACAAACTAGCACCTTTCCTGGGCAAGGAGACTTCTCGAGCAGCACAGACCACCAGAAACAAAACTATGTATAATATCCTGTCTATACCATACTTAGTGTCTGGCAGGAGATGTGCTGACCTGCAATCCAAGTGATGCAGAGCTGAAAAGTCCATCCTCACAGTTCAGGAAGAGCAAGCTGGACACAGCTGGAAGCTGCTGGCCAGCACCCACTGAGAACAGGGGAACAAATGGCCCCCAGTCCTTTGCACAGCATTTTTATCAACACCTTTTTAATGACCCACTCCAAAACCAGCAACAGTTTCCACACCCCCTTGGGGCAGCGACTCCTATAACCACCAGCACTTTGGCCCAGTAGGAAAAGGACACTCACTGCCTCCTGCTGCATCACAGCGCTCAGGAGTGGAAGCTGCCAGAGCACCAGCTTTGTTTCTCTTTAGCTGGCTGCTGACAACAAACTGTCCTCAAAGGAGAAGCAAAACTGAGCAGCACAGCACTATGCCAAGCAGTCAGGAGATGCAGTAACAAGTGATAACACCACACATCGATGGCATGAGGGGCTGAGGAAGAGCACAACCCATCCATCCTTTTGTGCAGGAACTGAGCACAGAGTACAGCCAGCTGGAGACAGGGAAGTCAGGCCCTGGCAGGGGCATCTCCTTCCTCTCCATTTCCTGATCCTCCTTCATAATCAGTTTTTGCAAATCCAATTAGTTGTTTGCTGGAATTTCCTACTGGCAAATTTAATTTATATGACTCTGCTCTAACAGGACCTTCCCCCCCTCTCCCTCTCCCCCTTTTTTTTTTCCTCTTCATTGCTATAATTTCTTGGATTGTTGACTATAACTATTCCCCTCTACTCATCTCTCCCAGACAAAGCTTTAGCTGATTGGGATAAGGAGCTTGCACAGTTAATCAGCACCCATGACAAACAGATGCAATCAGGATGCAGGACGTCAGAAAGAGAGCGCTTTGCAGAGGCTGAGCTCAGGCTCCACGTCCACAGGCTTTCCTGCTTCCAGTGGACAGTTTCTGTAGCACTATGAAAACACTAAGCAGTTTCCATCAACAGGTCTCACTTTTATAGGAGGGTGAAGAAATCCAAAGCACAGCTCAACAGCAAGCAGCAGCTGGGACTCCAGAGCTGGATGCATTTTTCCTGCCCCACCTTGTGAGCCACTTCTTCTGAACACACTCTCTCTGCACACCATAACAGGACAAAGGCAAACAAGAGGAATGCCCTTCAGATCAAGCTCATCTTTGCCTTAAAAGTAAAGGGGAAGGAAGGAAGGCTGGGCTGGCCCCTCACTTACATGTGGAGCGGCTCCCAGCACAGACACGTGATCCATTTGGAATGGCCAGTGAGAACACGGCCGATCTGATTGCCCGTGGCTGGGTCCCAGAGAAATATCTGCCCAAGAGAAGAAGCAAGAGGGTTGCATCAGGCCACACGTCATGTGAATCCCAGGGATGGTTTGGGCTCCATTTAGAAATGATAGGTATCCTCAGTCTTGTGGGGATTTACAGAGCAGAAAGGGAGGGGAGCAGGAGAGCCGGATGCCTTTGCTGATCCCAGCCGCAATCAGCTGACATCTGAAAGCATGAGACCTGATTGCCTTCCTCTTCGTTTCAGATGCTGCTGCTGCTACAAAAATATCTGCCCCAGCCCAAAAGCAATCCGGCTCTCCAGAAAGCCAGCCTGAGCCTTACAGCCTGTGCCAGAGAGTTGGTGAATGTTTGCAGAGCATGATGAAAGCCAGAGCGGGCTAAATGCTACTTATTATCGGATTCTGTGGGTGGGACACATGCTGGTTTTCTGTTGCTTTTTCTCTCTCTCTTTGTAAATGCTCATCAAAAGAGCCAAGGCATTAGTCATATACTGCAAGAAACTCGGAGAAACAACAAAAACAGAACAAGCAGCTCCCTGGGTCAGATTAAAGCCAGAACCTGCTTGTTTCTTTGGGCTCATATCACAGCGGCCTCACAGGGAAGCTGCTCAGACACTGAGCCCAGGTCAGCAGCACTCAGCAGCTCTGCAGCTGCTGTCCTCACTCCCAGGCTGTTCAAAAGTCAGAGCAAGCCAACGTCCCGCTGCAGACTAGCAAGTTACTAACTTGCTTTTAATTGTGCCCACTTGCTCCTGCTTCCCAAGACATTTCTGGAAGCGTGTTTAGCACATAAGTTTTGCCCCATAACTGGAGCAGGGCTCTCCCCAGCATTCCTGTAAGAGGGAATTTGGCTGTGTCTGAGCAGGAGCACTATGAAACAGGCTGCTGCTGCACGTCTGGGTCACACACACAACCACACTGGTTTGGCCAAGCGATACCCCTTCTTGCTCCAGAAATCTCCCTCGTGATGGAACTGTCTGCCAAGGACCACGTCCAGATCCTGGACTCTTTCCTGTACAGAGGGAAAAGCGTCTGCCACAAAACAGCAGGGCTCTTACAGTGAGACTTCTGCAAAGGCAAGAGAGTGCTGCCTGGCACAGCTGAGGCACAGGCCAGTTCAAAGACACCACACACTACCACTGCGACGTGCCAACATGCAAAGCTTCTCCAGGACACTGGGAATCCTGCCCTGAACAACTAGACACCTGCTTGCCCCAGCTGCTAGAGAAAACAAGTCTTCATTGCTAATACCCTGGAGCCCATTTAGCAGGTTGTATGGCTGTGCAGGGTCTCCTGAGCTGACCACTGACCCTCTGCCAGGGTACTAATAGACCTACCTGGCTATTTTTGCAGCCTGAGGCCAGCTTCTTGCCATCAGGTGACCAGGCGATGCTGAGCACCCAGTGTCTGTGACCTGGGAGAGAGAGCACAAGCAAGTGTGAGCAGAGAGCTGCACCCACCTGTCCCCAACATCCCGGGATGCAGCAGCCACAACATCGGGACAAGAATAGGGCAAACCCTTCTTCCTCTCTTTCTCCTCAACTCAGTGCAAAAGAGCTGCTTCATTCCCCTGAGGGCAGTCCCAGCCCACGCAGCACATAACGTCTGCCCAGTTTGTCCCACTGAGTGGGACAGGGGGAGCTGCCCCCTGGAACCCCCTGCACCCACCTTTGGCTGTGAACTGCGGCGTCTCCGTGCTGAGGTCCCAGAAGCGGACAGTTGTATCCCCAGAGCCGCTCGCCAGGTACCTGGGACAGGAGGGACAGCAGGATCAGCACGGGGCCCCGGTGGCTGCCGCATGGAGACGTGCTCCACCCACAGCTGGACTCTCGTACTTTCCCGTGGGGCTGAAGGCAACGGAGATGACGGCCTCGGTGTGTCCCTCCAGGGAGCTGGTGCAGCGCGTCACCACCCGCACCCTGAACACGGCCTGCGGCTGGTAGATGATGTCGAGAACCTTTTCTGTCTCCACTGCCTGCCCTGTCAAGGTCTTCTCCAGCGAAACGACGATCTCGGCATCGTGGAAGAAGAAGGCCAAAGGCACCGGCTCATCCTGGAGGTGAAATTGCAGGAGAGGTGGCAGGGGGCGGCTCCGGGCACCAGGAGCTGAATTCGCTCCGGACCCGGCAGCCTCACCTGCTGCAGGAGGGCGTTGCACACCAGCTGCAGCTTGTCTGGGGTGATGCTGACGGGCACGTCGAAGGGGGAGCCGAGCGGCTCGCCGGCCTCATCGCGGAACTGGATCAAGAGCCGCTCCACGTCCTCTGTAGGCTCCATGCTCTGCGGGACAGCGGATTCAGGGCCGGTACAGGTTAGGAACGGCCCCGCAGCGCTCAGCCCCAGGCAGGGACAGCCCCCGGCGGGGAGGTGAGCCGCTCCGGGGGAGCCTCGCGGCGGAAGCACCGGCAGAAACCCACGCAGGAGGCCGGAGGAGCCCTGTAGGAGACTCCGTAGCATTCAGGAGACCGCGGGACACCCCGGCCCCTGCCATCCCGTACAGCCCCGCCCCATTCCAGGCTCTGCGTGCGGACGCAGCCCCTCCGTCCCAGCTCCCGTCCCGTCCCCCCCCGCGCTGGGTCCCGCTGCCGGCCCCGCTCACCGCGGCCATGTGCCCGTGCGACCCACGTGGGCCGGAAGCGGCCGCTCTGCGCGGGGCGGGGGGTGCGGGAGGCGCTGGGTGCGGCGCTGCTGCCCCCTCGTGGCCGGCGGTGGGAGCCGCGGGTTCGGGGTTGCAGGGAGCGTTTCACCGAAATGCTGTTTAGCTGGGCTGGAAAAAGACTCAACCCTGCTACGCAAATCCGTCACGAAGCAAGCGATAAATTCCGCGTTGCTCGTCTCGTCTGCAATGCAGCTGCTGAAAGAATGCGTGATCAGGGCCCAAACTTGGGGCTTGTAGTCTGTAAATGCGCTCTGCTAGGACAGCAAAGTAGCTGCTGAGGTCTGAACGTGGCCAAGGCAGGAAAAAGAAAGAACGGCGGTGAATGCAAAGTGGGTTGCTGTTCGGGTTTCTGCCCAAGCCGGAGCAATGCACGTGTAGGTCAGCACTGCACTGCACGACGTCCATCCGCACCTCTCCCTACCGCGTTTGTGATCACGCAGCCCAGCCTTGTGAGCAATCTCAGCTCTGTTGTGCAAATCACACCTTCAGTACTTCACACCACAGCAGGTTCAGAGCTACCAGTGCCTCCTTACCACAGAACTCTGCCTTCCCGTCCTTGGGTTCTCTCCATCAGCTCTCCACACATCAAAGATATCAGGCACAGCAACAGAGAGACCCCAATACAGCTCTCCCCTCCCCCCCAGTTCAAAAACTTGTTTAATATTTACAGACATCATTCCTAATTCAATGCCATCCATTACAAGATTAAGAAATGTTTGCAAATGTAAAGGGCAAACATTACAATGTTTTCTCTCTTTTATGAACCTCCACGACCTACGTGAAAAAAAACCCAACATCTAAATTCAAATCCCATCAAAACAGAAAACTGACACAAATTTTAATATTTATATATTTTAAATCAAAACACAATTAAATAGAGTATGCTTTAAGTACATGAATACTTGGGCATGAGAGAAATAAGAGGTGGTACATAGTACCAAAAACCTATACACAGCCTTTTTTGCCTTTTCTTTTTTTTTAATATATAGACAATACAGTGTCTCTCTATACAATCAAATATTGCAACAGAATAACACTTGCTAGTCAATCAAAATATTTGGAACACTGGAGATGATTTGAGTTCTTTTGCAAAGTGATTTTTTTTTGCACAAGAAAAAGAAAGCAATCATGAGTAAAACAAAAAACCCAAAGTAGAAGTGTTGTATACTAAAAATGCAGTGATGTAACAGAGTTACACACAGTGCTTTTGATACTCTGTAAAAATCAATTCACTGGAAAAAATGGAGGTGCTGCATCACGCTGTGGCTTTACTTAAAGGTTTTGTATGTTGCAAGTATTGACAGTGTCAGGAAAAAGGCGGTCAGAGGTCATTAAAGTTATTTTCCTTTGTAAACCAAACATCTGGAATTAGATACTGTGTTGGTTTGAGGACAACAAGCTATGCAGAACAGCAGTAACACATGGCAGCAATTACTTTTTTCCTTGCTTAGGGGATGGAAAGGAAAAAAAAAAATGGAGCTGTCTACTGGGTAGAATCTCCTCAAAACATGGTGTGCACTCACAGCCCAGGCTCAGGAGCAGAGGGTTGCACAAGTGTAAGATTTGGAGTCTGCTCGAGTCTGCTGTGTTAGAAGCAGGAGATGAATGGAAGTGTGCAACTGTCAGAGCTTGACAAGGAAGAGTTGCACTGTCCAGGCTTTGCTCCTCATCATTCTACGCTGCCTTCAAAGTTAATGGAGTTATGAAGTAAAATACATTTATCTTACAGTTGAATACTCATCTATTTCAAGTAAGGAAAATTAAAAACTTAGAGATTTTTAGGTCATTCACTGCCAAATGAATTCACCATTTCACGTTTGCTCCTCCAGTGGCCAATGTCAGGGACACATTCCATGGCCTTTGCAGTTACGTGTTACAAAATCACTGGTTGCAGAACTAGAAACTACAGCAAAACTCTCCCCTCCTTGTTGCTGCTTGTGTCCCCTTCCAGATATTTTGCTTAGGAGTCTTTTTGAGACAGGGTCAAGTATTTGTGAAGCTGATCACAGTTTTTCAGTGACATGTTCAGCAATGATCTCTTCATCTCTAAAAACCATCATGGTAAATGCCACATACAACAGGAAAAAGTGTTTCTTCACGCTCTACAGTGGAGGTATAGGATTGCTTCTTTTTAATTCTTCCTTATAAACGAGGGAGTTATCAGCAGTTGGAGTTAACAGTGCTTTGTTTTTATTGGCTGTGTTAAAGAATCCACCAAATGGGAAAGTTCACTCATTCTCAACGCAGTAAACCAGATTTCCTGTTCTGGCATTTCTAAAATCATAGCTGGAAAAGGAAGAGCAGGGTTAGAGTTCATCATACCCTAAAACACACACAACAGTCACTCAATAGAGAGACACTTTGTGTTCACAAGTGTTGAAGCCAGGTATGCTTACAAGTTTGGAAAAGAAAGAAAAGCTACTCTCAATCTTCAGCTTACAGTAACAGGCTTAACTGAATCAAGAACATCTGCAGCCACTTGACATTTCCCAATATTGTGCTTAGTGACCTTTTCATCTAGTTAGACTGGAATTATGTGATTTGTAGCCAAGCTATTAGGTGAAATTATTATGCAAGTCATTTAAACGTAACTGCTGCAGAAAAATCAAAAGTCACACAGTGAAACTATGGACCAATGCTTGAAGCCTAGTCAGCAGGCATCAATATGCATCAAATATCAACGTGCAACACTAAACTGCTTATCAACACGGCTGCAGACTTGCACAGAGCCACTGAAGATCTGTTAAAAACTCCTACAGCACTGAACGTAGGCTGAAAGGAGTCCAACCTTTGGTTCTTCACATCATACAAAGTCTGAACTCCTGGTAGCATTTCAGAGGCACCAGGAAAGCAAGCATGAGCTCTGCTCCTCCCACACCCTGGCTCAGGCCAGACAGAGGCGTGCATCCTTCCACCTCTTACCTTTGTGCCCTTGTCTGAGCGCTGCTCGCAGTGTGCCTGCTGCATGACATCATTGACGATCATCTTTGCTATCCGCCAAGCCATCTCTTCTTGAGCCTGCCATAGACAAAACATCCCAAACACAGGTGGAATTGTTAAATGAGAATACAGCATTCTCAGCATAATTCACGTTCTCAACCTCAGACAGGCAGTTAACATTCACAACACAGTGACTTGTAGTAAGCAGATCTTCCCTTGGTGCAAATGGACTTGGCTTCCAGGCACTGCATTCAATCCAATTAATAGGAATATTTACTGCTTGATGCAATTTGGTGAATTCTTTATACTTCTCCAAATCCCTCTGGAGGGGAGAAATGCAGCCTGTAACCCGTGTACAGTGATTACTTCACAGCAAAAAGCAAAAAACATGAGCACTGCCACTCTTAATAAAACCCCGTTGACACAGTTAATTTTATCAGTTAAACCATCAAGCACTGGTGGGGGGGAATAGGGACAAAAAGAACCCCACACCATATCACAGGTGTGAAGTATTTGGTACACAGCCTGAGAGTTCTGATTGGTGTTACCAGAGAAACAGCCAGGATTAAGAACCTGAACACCTGATTTCCCTAATGTGAACTGTGAAGTATGCCACGAGGAGCAGATAAAAGAGAACACACCTCATCCGTGTTTCCTTGAACCCACTTCTTCATTGCTTGTGAAAACATGGACCCTAGTTGAGACAAAAAAAAAAAAAAGCTATATTAGCAAGCTCTGTGGCACATCCTTATTGGAGCTACTTCCCTCTACGTTTCTGAATGGCCTGCACTGCTGGTGTCAGAGAACACAAGAGAGGCATGAAAGACAGGGGAACAGAGGGAGCCATGGTTCTCTTGGCAGCAAGTCCAAATCTTTCCTTTTTACCAGAAAGCAGAGTTGAAAAGCAGAATTAACAGCAGATCCTAAAGTGGAAGGGAAGCATGTGGTGAGCTGAAGTTCTTTTTCATTTTGAAACCAAACCTTTGAAGGTCTGATCAGCTCAGCTGCAAGAGGCTTTCATCCCTGCCACATTCCATGGAGAGCTCCAGCTCCCACAGGCTGCTTGTACTCCCAGCTGGAGGAGAGAAGCAGGACTTGGCTAGAGAACGTGGCTGGAGATGGGCTTCGCCTCAGAATTCCCTAAGCATCTCTGTTTGGCTCTACACAAAGCTGAAAGAGTCAAGAATCATCTTGACTGAAGGAAAAGTTCTGTGGATGTTTACTGACACTGAAAGCAAACCTTTTGATTTTTTGACATCAGGCTCCGGTTCAGATTCTCTGATAAACTGCCCCAGGTCACTGACTCGTCCAAATGTCATCTTCCTGAAGAGAGAAGGAAGAATGGAACCACACTGGTTTCCAAGAGAACTTCAGCACAGGGAAAGTTATCCATCAGGAAAACAAAAGAGATCAGTACTATACAGACTCGTGTCCAAAAATTTGGCATTTTACCAGTTACCACCATTTCCACCTAAAACTGATACACTGGGAAAAAAAAAATCTCCATTCCTGTATATCTGAACATAAGAGTCTATATTTAAAGTTATTCTAGAAACTTGAAGTAGGCAAATGCTTCGGTGACTCAATCCTATCAGCAGGCAGTGCCAGCAAGTGCTCTACAGTATTATAAAACACTATTAAGGAGAAAACAGCTTACAGTACTTAAAGGGACACAAGAGTGGTAAGGAATAGAAAAGCAAAGTAGCTACAGAAACAAATTTCTGCATGAGACCCACAGGGCAAAAGAGATTTATAATGACAACTTATACAGAAAAACAGCAGTGCAACCTACTAATGAAGTACAAGCCCTTCTCTTTTATGGAAGCAGGGAGAAATCAAAGCTCTACATTAGAACATCAGATGCTTTTTTTTTTTTTCTGTTGGAATTTAAATAGGAACTGCTTTGCTATATTTTACTCCTCTTGGAGTCAACAGCTGGAGGAAAATCCTAATAGAAATATCTCTGGCTGCCACTCTGGTCAGAGAAATGTTCACTATGACATTGGTGTTCAAACACCCTAACTACAGAAATTTACTTTCAAACACTAAGATTGCAACATTTTTTACCTATGTGCATTCTCAGTGCAGAAGGACATGGCAAAAATGAGAAAGACACGAAACACAAGCGAGGAAGAATGAGACACTGAGCCTTACCCTGCATATGTTCGTTGATATAAAGATTCTGGATCCAGACTCGCAGCATCTACAATTATTGCTTCATCAAAATTTTTCAGGATTTTAACATTAGCCTTTTTGATACTGGACTACAAACAAAAATTCTAAGTATTAGTGCCCAGTGCAAACAACTAGTAGCTTCTTAACACTTAATTACTACTTTAGAGCTTTTACTTAGGTAAACCTCCAGACATCTCTATACAAGCACAACAGAATTAGAGAGCATCTACACAAAGGTGAGTTCCTCATGCAGCACAACACTGTTTACAAACAGAGAATGATAGTTTACAAACAGAGCCACCAGACACAACATGCAGTCAGCACACACAGACGTGCAGACTGCTGTCTAAGCATTATCAGCCAAACAGATCTGTGTGTGCATGGCCATTATTTGTCTGCCTCAAAAGCTGCAGCAGTTTCCTCATCCCTCTCACGCCCTTGGTGAGCAATTCCCCAACACTGTGCTTCCCCCATAAACAGAGAACAATATTTATCTTTTAGTCTTATATTTATCTTATATAAGATTATGCAAAAAAAAAAAGGAAACATTTGAGCAGCAGCAGGGAGAACACAAATGCACAGCAATCTACAAGCACCTTAGCTCAGAACAAACATTACAGCAGCTGCCTCACAAACTCCTTTCCTGCTGGTCTGTGTAAGTGCTGTTCTTTATGCAGAAACGTGCAGAGCACTGGAGATTCTCCTACTCAAGTAAGAATGCACAGCAAAAAAGCACAGCACTCCCTAAACCCTCCAAGCAAGTCAACTGCAAGCAGTTTCTACTCCTCCTTCTATCAGACAGCAGGATAATTCAAGATGTCAGAACACACAGGTTTTGCTCCCATTTTTCCATTTCACCAGGAAGTACAAAATTAGTGAAAGCAGACAGTGCTGCTTCTAGGTTGCTGAAAACACAGCATGTCAGGATTGCTGGTCCTACGTACCAGATTAAACTCCCTGCAGCATTCAGTAAAAGCAATTCAGCAGAAGCAGATCCTGCTTGGCTTTTCTGCTCTCTGCTGGGCCTGCATTTGCAAGCTGAGCTGGTTACAGATAAGCTAGAATCTGCTCATCTTTTCCCTTGTCCACATTTGAATTAAGAAAAGCTAGAATTTTTGGAACAGACAACTCTTGGTTGAAGGGTTTCCCTGATGTTATTTGGATGGTTTCAGAATGGGATGTGCTCCCCTGCCTGTGTCTTAAGTTAGACCCATGGAGGAACATGGTTCTCAGGAAGCAGCACCCCAAAAGGTAACACAAAAAGGTGCTGGCCCACAACCAGGGCACTGCACAGGGCAGATACCTTTCCTACGTCACTGAGATATGCACTGTGTAAGAAAGTCATGTTCTTTTTCTACACAGTACTGCAAAGGAACAAGCACACAGCTCCAGTTATGGTTAATGAACTATCAGAGTATCCTGCCCAGCAATGGCAACATGACTGCAGCACTTACCAGAAGGGAATCAAAAGAACTCCTACCTGGGAGGCAGAGCCATCTGGGCCCCCTGCAGAATCACTGTCCGGAGAGCCACCAGGCCCTTGAATACTCAGTGCAATGTTTCCTCCTGGAAATTCATCTCCTCGAACTGAATGGATAAGATCATTCAAGTATTTGTAATAAAGGTTGCTGGACAAGAAACCAGGCAAAAAAACCTGAGAGACAGAAGAAGTCCTCTTTAATCAAGGCTGTCCTGCACAATTCCCATAGGTCTCTTGCAGAACAGAAGGGACACATGAACACATCAGCCCTTGTGTGGATGGTACACGTGCTCCCACAAGGAATTAAGCTGGATTAGCTACTGCATTACTTTCAGTTCTACTGCAAAATGAAACAAATTGCTAGAAAGTAACCAAACCACCACAAACAGGAACTGAAATTCAGATTTTTTTTTTTTGCCTGGAAAGGCTTGAGCACCCAGCAGGCTCAAAGCCATTTTGCTACAATGCTCAAAACCACACCTTGTCATCTTTTCAAGTCAGGCTGGGGAAAACATGCTATCAAGCTTCACTAATACTGCTGTATTACTTATGCAAACAGGAAGTCATTAAAACAACAGAACGAGGCAAAGATGCTAAAAAGGAATGCCTGACACTGCAGAAATCTCCCCATGATTCCTACTAACTGCCAAAACCAGTCTGAAGGAGGTGTCTCACCGTCTCCATGGTAGTCCAGGCCTGCCGGAGGGGAGTAGTGAAACAGTTAGGGAGAGGCCCACCTTCCCTGCAGATGTTGGATTCAATCTCTAACCTCACAGAGTCATCAAAGCCAAGAGGATGTGTGGCTTGAAGGGAGAAGTACCTGCAGCACCAGACAGGAGAAGACAACACGAAAGGTTTTGTAAAGTTTTGCCAGTGCCGAATACCTGCCCCTTTTCCACCAGAGGCCTTTAACACCACTGCAGCCACTAGATGGTGCTGGCTTCAAAAATGAATGCACAGCTCATAACAACTAAGGGCAGGGAGGAAAAAAGTCGTCTTAACAGTTCTGATAAAGCCTTTCCCTGAAGGTACAGATAGAACAAAGCATAATATGATCATCAGTGAGCAGAACCTTACACACAGTTCTGTAACAGAGAAACAGGAATGAAGCAGAAAATACCCATAACTGTGAAGCAGTATTTGCTCATTAAAAACTGAGTTTGTTAATGAAGGGGGGGAGGGAAAGGGTGGAACCAACACAAGCGAGTTCTTTCCTTCTTCAATTTTTACTTCATATTAGTATAGGTTCTCAGCAAGCTTCTATAACAAGCCTCTCACAACTAGGATTCCAGAAGCAGTTCTTATGTCCAGCCTCCAGCAGCATTATTGCTAAGCTGAAACCCAAAATAAAGAAAAAGTAACACTACTGAAGTCCAGACATTTCCTTAAAAAAAATCTTTTGAAACAGTAAAAGCCAAACAGAGCTTGTTTTTCATATGTATGGTGAAAGCACTTGCAGCCTACATGTAATGGCTAAGACAATCGGAAAGTTAAGATTCTTTTGCACTTACACATCTGTTTTAGCAATCAAGTCTTTCAAATTCTGGTTTTTGTTTAAAGAACAAAGACTTTATAACGATTTTCTCCTTACGTATGAGGAAAACTCTGGGTTTTTGTGCACACACAGAGGCCATCTAAATAACACATTTTAGCAAAGCAGTGCAGAACTGCAGAGCACCGCCTGAAAATTAACAGCTCCTCTTTCACTGTGCAACACAAGTATAAAGACAAAATTAGAGCTTCAGAAAGATAACTGTTGAACTCCCTCACTTGTCATATAAAATCATGGCGTCATTCTGTGCTTCTTGCCCATCATACTGGCCTTTTTTGGCAGCGAGTTGAGACTGGAAGTTATCTGCTGCCAACCAGAACTGCAATACATTGACTGCGTCTTCCTTCTCCATGTACTAGAAGGGAAATTAAAAAAAAAAAAGTTTCAGCAAGCAACTACAATTAACACAAACCCATCCCATCCCACTGCTTGTTTGCATTGTATGGACAAGAATCTGTTTTCATGCTATGCTGGGCTGGTACAGGACCACATAACTGTACAATCATTCAACCTCTCACTTCAGCCCAGTGCCCTCTTGAAGTATTTAAACCAGAATTTTTCTTTATCTACATTCAATGCTCTCCAAGTCACTGCTTCATATAGCAAGATTAAGAGGTCCACGTCAGAGCTCCTACAAAGCACAGTCACACAGAAATGGTCACTAAACTGAAGATACAAATACTTATTCTACAACGTAGCATAAAGGTTTAGATGTGTGAAATTATTCTACATGTGGACAAGAACAGTACAACCCATTTCAACTATATTTAAACATAATCCAGGAAAATGATACACCTCATCTCTCTGGTTATATTTAAGGTGTCTGTATTGAAGCTTTCAAGGAACGAGTTACTCTCTATCAAATGGAAAGGGACAGAAAGAAATACAAGCCCAAAACCTAACACTCACCTCAGAGAAGTAGAACAGAGCTGATTCACAGAAAAGTATGTCAGCCAGATAAACAGTCCCACTGGTCAGCACCTCGATCTGGTATTTACAGAAATGATGACTTCGCAGAAACTCACTAAAGTGCCTGCAGGCAGAGCAACAATTTGTTACTAAGGGTCAACACCATGAAACGCACTTTATAAATCAGTTCCTTCTTGCCCCAGAAGCCTTCAGTCAGACAGAAACAGCACAGGGTACACAAACAACAGGAGAACAATACAAAGAATGCAGTAATATCACAGAAACACAACTTCAGCAAGCAATCACAAGAACAGATTTGGAGGCAGAGATCTGAACACAGTTACAAGTGCAGAAGACAACCATACAGTGTTTTATGTCTTCGTAAGCATTTTTAATGGGAGCACCTTTTGCAAAGGACAACACACACCACTTACTCTTGTTCCATTGCATTAAACACTATGGACTGTGCTGTAACAAAGCAGTTAGGATCCACTTGTCCATCTTCCCCACAAATTTTTGCTGTAAAGAAAGAACAATTTAGATGTAATGCACAGTTGGTTTACTGACTTGAAAGATGGGCAATGGCTAGTTCATGAAATACTGCACTTCAAACCTGCTAGAATCAGCTGGTCCTGACCATGCAAAAAGGCCTTTCAAGAGACACTGGCACTACTTTCTGAAGATTCCAGAAATAGATCATTATGTGGAAGCTCCAAAATTAATAAGCAGAATGCAGTCTTACCAACTATGTCATTTCTCATCGCTTCTGTAACAGGTATTGGTTTAGCAGCATCTGGAGAAATATATTTGGTAAAAGTACTAACTGCATCCCGTTCTATACCTGCAAGAAAGAAACACAGAATCAAACTCTGTATTACTGGCACAAGTTTAAAAAGGAGTGAACGACAAACACACACCTGCTCTTCAGAAAAGCGAGTATCTAACCAGCAGTGACAGCCTCCTTCCCACGAAGCTTTCAGCTCCTTACTCCACACTCTACTATCAGCAAGCTGCTGTGGCTGTGCTGTCTCCAGCCAGGCCACAACAAAGCCAGCACAGATTATCTAGTGAGGAGGACTGCAGCAGTGTAGCTCCAAATTCCCTACCACCAAACAGGAGAGTGCCCTTATCCTCAGCTGCACCCCTCAGTCCCAGCAGTAACACCTCTGCTTTCTAGAGTACCATTGTTTGCTTTGCTTTGGGGCTGAGGTTATGTATTCTGAAGGGATATGACAAGTAACTACATGAGAAAGGCAAACAGTAAGAGAAAGGGATGCAACACAAGGAAACAGTTGAGCAAACAAAAGGAACCACTATGAAGAAAGGAGCGTTTCCTTTTTGACTGCAGGCTTACATTAAATGAGGGAGGACTGAGTAGATGCAGAGTAAAGAAACAGGTTACTATGCATGTAGCTTATTATGGAAAAATAAGTATTTTAAGGGCATCCTTACTTCCAGTAGCCTCTGAAGAGGTGGACTCCAAATGAGAATTATCAGTTACAAGGGGAGGAACTCTATCAAATAAATCCAAGAATAAGAACAGTACGTTCCAGACAACATTCCTACAAGTCTTTTCTAATGAGCACGTAGGAACTAATACTTTTGTAACCAATATTTTATGTTACACAGGATATTTACCTTCCAGGAAATAGTTTATCATCAGTTCTCAGCCCCATTATCCAAGTTTCCTACAATTCTCTTAAGTCGTGGAGTGGGATGAGTGAGGGAAACACCAGACAGTGCAATATTCATCTTTGTTTATGATCACATGCGGAGGATCAGAGTATGTAATGATTTTTCAGCAGCACATTTATTTTTAAACAACCAGTAAAAATACACTTACATTGACTATCAGCTTACACAGCAACTTACTGACATACAAAATGATTTCCCTCCTCACAGCATCACGCCATGCTTACTAAGAAGACATGAGAACCCAGACAGCTCACCTCACACGTTCCCCCATCTCCCCACCTTTTTCAAGAAAAGGAACACACACCACTTACTTTTCATTAGTTTTCCTGACAAGTCTCTTAGTGCAGATGAGGGACTGTTTCTATTTGATACTGTAAGCTTGGAAGATTCTTGATGATCAGCTGGAACAGAATGTGTCCCTGTCTCGGATTTTCTTAGACAAAGAACGCTGGTATCATCACTCTCCTGACCTGAGAGCACGTGGTTCTGGCTGTTGCGAGTTCTGTCGTTCTTGTCTGGAGTCACTGACCTGGTCCTGAGCAGATGGACAGTGCTAGCATCCTCCAGTCTCTCCTCAAGCAATCCAGGGGGAGAAGAAGATGCAATTTCCTGCTGCTTTGAGGGCGACACGGGCTCTGCCAGTGAACTCTGCTTAACTGTGTTCAGGCTGTGTGCTCTTATACGGGACCACGTTGTGGAGTGAAAGCTTTCAGCCTCTAACCAAAACTTAACCAAGTGTTCCATCCTGCGCAGTTCCATAAACTGGATAAAATAAGGGAGGGCTACACTGTCCTGCAGAACTTGTTCAAGGGTCTTTGAAAGGCTTGATTTGGTCTCTTGAGCCTGATAATTCAGACACGATCTGCCTAAAGAAAAACAGCAAGGGAATGATTCCATACTGTGCTACAGACGTTTGTATTCAATATAAAAACAGGCAGCAAAGAGATGATTCCCACTGATGGCCCACAAGGCAAAGGCATTTCTTGTAAGAGAAACCAAAGAGCTAATTAATTTATTGCCTGCTCAAAACCCTTCTAGGCTAACACAGACACCACCAAAATGGAAGAGAAATGTTTTAGTTACCTAAACAACTTGACTGAAAACCAACAAATAAGGAGCACACCAGCAGTGTGCATAAAGGAAAAAGAAAAGAAATTGCTGACAGTCCTGCAGAACAGACGAAGCCTTACCTAAGTCTCCGAAATGAGCAGCTTCCATGTGACTTGGCTGCTTCTTAAGGGCAGCTGTCCGACTGCTAGAAAAAGAGTCCATGTTGGCAGAGATGGCATTAATCGCCACATGGCTTGGTCCTGCAGCCTCCAGCAAGGCATGATTTCTAGTGCTTCTTTGAGGGGAATGTACAGGTACTGGAGCTGGAATTAAGACAGCAGTGATTAAAAGGACCCTAGCACCATTTCTATGCATTACCCAATGTGAAGCACTCCCAGAATAAACCAGAGGGGCTGCAAGAGTTTAAAGTCCCTCCGTTCTTTTAAAATATGGCTGCCTACTTGAGCCAAAAGAGCACAAAGAACTTCCTCATACAAAACTCAAACATATTAAAAGCATCAACTAATTATTGCTTGGCGACAGAGCTGGAAAAAAGCAACATGGCACAGCAATGCCAGTTTCAAAAGCTCATGGGAAGCTGCATTTCATTAGCATGTCAGGCAAGGACATTCACACCTCTCCTGTTAAAAATAAAGCAAGTCAGATGACACGTTATCTCAGCACTACTCCATCGTGATGCGCCTCATCGAGGTGTCAGGGAAGTTGGTGTTCTTGACTTTCATGCTGCATCACTTTATTTTTATTCCCTATTTGGTGACGTGAGATGACAGGAGCTGATGATTTCACACTTACACAGCACTGTGACAGATAAGTTGAAGAAGCAGTACAGGAGGACTAAAACATCCATTACAAACACTTTAGACGAGGTTGTTCTAAATCTAAGCATCAAAATTGCAAAGGACAACAAATAAGCAAGGAACTTCACAAGGAGTTTAGAGTAGACAAGGAGTAGCTGCTCCTTGTGAGGTGACTGAGTTTTAGGATTACTCTGCATTGAAGCTCACATCTGACATAATTTCATGTGTACAGATTCAGCAGATTGGCTGGGAAAGAGCAGAGCTATCAGCACTGAAGAACAGAACCACGGGGGGTCCATTTTGTGTTTAAGGCTTAGGCCACGTTTTGCTCAGTTGTAAGGAAGTCATCCCACCAGTAAAACAAAAGTGGCAGATGACAATACAGATCTGATGCTATAAATGAAATAAATATTCATCTTACTTTTAATTGCTTTCACATCTGTGGTCTTTTCTTGTTCTCTGCCTTTCACTGTAAAACATAAAAGGAAATGTTACTGCTATTTTGAGTGATAAAAGGCATTCACTGGAGAATGAACGTGACATTTCTAACTTCAGCAAGTATCAAAGGAAGATGCAAACCATCACCTTGTTCAAAATGATCTTAAATCTGCACCTCTCTGTGCTGTTGTGCTGCTTTAATTTCCAAAACAAACCCTTCTCATTCATAAGCTAAGTCTAACAAAACACGTGACGTTAGAATGATGATGTGCAAAGATGCTGCCCAAACGATTAAAGCAAGGCTAGGTTCAGGGTTACTTCAACAAACAGCACTGATGGGAAAGGATGGGACAGATGTGTTTTAAGAGCAGGGCACCAGCAGGTGCTCTCTGAGCCACAAATCACATCTGGAAACAAAAGGAGAGCAGTGGTGTGTGCAGAGCCAGCCTGAGTTAACACACAGCTCATCCCTGAGCACTGATTCTGGACACCTCCCGAACAGACCCATGAATAGTAACTGACTCCAATCAAAGATTTACATTACAAAACGTGAGATTTTTTTTTAAAAAGTGCTTCCAACACCAACGGAAGTGTTTTAAATATTTTAAAGGGAACCATCAGCTCTGGTTACATAACGGGCTGCACCGCCACCGCCGGCCTGCATGGGGAGCGGGCGGTGCAGGGCTGGATGGAGCCCTCAGGGAGGTTTAAGTTGGTGGTTTCCACATTCCCAGACACAGAAAGATTTCAGCTGCAGCCACAAGAGATGGATTCCTTTAAACTGATCTCCTGCAGCCAGATCCAACCTGGACACGAGCACTGACAACAACCAGCTTTTACGTAACCCGGTGTGTGCTGATGTGAGGGAGAGACATCACTAAGAAATCCACATGTCTGAAATAACAGAGCCACAACACAAACAAGGCAACCCGCATGCAGGATTACAAACTTCCTCTCTCTTTAAGGACACAAAGAATTCATTCATCAAACTGAACCTTAACTTCTGACAATGATTCCCACATTTCAGCAGAGGAGTCCTCCACGTGCCCACCTTCCACTCAGCTATGCTCACTCCTTCCCACCAGGCTCCTCCCTCATTCCCCACACACAGCTGCTAATACAAACTCCTGGGTCACACTGCCAACCTCTCTGTGCACACGCTGCTATCATTTCATTCAGAAAAAAAACACTTGTTTTCATTTATCCCTCACACTGTATCCTCTTAAAGAACAGGAGTCCAACACAAAGACAGCGGCGCTTTTGTCCAGTTTTGGCCTGCAGTTTTATCATAAGCGTTTATTTGTTGCTGCTCTCCCAGCTGCAGTTTGAGATCTTATCTAAAGCATCTTTAATGCAGATAAACAAAGCCATATTAATCCACGTACAATCTGGATGAAAGCTCACTCATCTCCTGCCTTTAACAGTGCCTCCCTGGGGCATTCAGCTCCTGCTGTGCTTCTGGGGCCAGAGATTCTTCCACCAAAGCACAGCACAGACACTGTTATGCACTGCAGCGCTTCTTTAGTGAGAAAGTTCTCGTGGAAGCCGAGGCTGTTCGGTGGTTCAGCACAGGAGGGACCTTCAGCCCCCCCACATCAAACCCCCCCCCCACATGGCAGGCGCAGCAGAAGCAGCTTGGAGCAGTTTGCTTACAGACAACACAGACGTTTAGATCTGCAGCTCCACTTCAGGACGCAGACAGCCCCGATGTCGGCGCTCACAAAACCCCCAGCGGTTCAGAACTGCTAAAATGACCCAAAGCGCGTTATCGCAGCCCCGCATTTCTGGAGCCCCGCTCAAACCTCGACCTGCGCCGCGTAACACCCGCAAAACGACTCACGGAACCCTCCGGCGCTGATTCCGTCGCTGTGACGAGGACCTCAGCACAGCTCGGTTCCTCTTTCCGCCGGAGCTTCGGCCCCAACCAGCGGCGCACGGAGCAGCGAGGCGCCAGCGGCGCTCCGCCCGGCAGCGCCGAGAATGGCGGAGCCGCACCTCGGGGAGCCCCGAGCCAACCCCGGCCGCTCCCTCAGCTCCGCGCGGTGCCCGGGCCGCGGCCGGGAGAGCAGCACTCGGTGCCGGCCGGCCTGCCCGCCCCCCCGCGGCCCTCCCGTACCTTTCCGCCTGAAGAAGGACATGGTGCCGGGGAGGGGGCGAGGCGGCCGCCGGGAGGGGGGAGGAAGGGGCGGGGGGACGCGGGCAGCGAGCTGGGCTCCTATGAATGAGGCGCCTTCCCCCGCCCGCCGCCGCCTCTCCCTCCGCCTCTTCCTCCCGCGGAGGCGCCAGCGGCCGCCATGTTGTCAACAACCGCCCCGCTCCTTCTTCCGGCCGGCGGCGCGCGGAGCGTGTCGGGATGCGGTCGCTGCCCCCGCCCTCGGGCGGCCCGCCAATCCGCGGCGCGGGGCGGCCATCTTGGAAGAGGGCACGGCGCGGGGCGGCCATCTTGGGAGAAGGCAAAGCGCAGGGCGGCGAAGCGCGGCGCCATCTTGGGAGAGGGCGGAGCGCGGCCGGGCGGGGAGCGCAGCGGGGCGTCTCGGAAAGGCCGGATCCCCGAGGCGCCGCCTCAGAATGTCCGCTTTGGCCGCGGGGAACGGGGCGGAGGAGCCCGAGTCTCTTCACAGAAAAGCCGAGTTGCCCGCCACGCGCTGAGCCGAAGGGCTCCGTCTGCGCTCCGCCGCACTGGCGGTTCTAATGGCCGCCGGAACGTCCGTGCCGCGGGGGGGCGCTGTGCGGTGCGGCGCTGCGCTCTGGGTCACGTGGGGTCCTGCGGCGCCGCCAGCCCGGCTCTCGCTAATTAACGCTCATTAATTGCATAAGAGCTGTGCGGGGAGCGGTGCGGCGCTGCCGGCTCTCGGGCAGGAGGCGCGGCTCGGCAGCGCTCTGCGGCGTGTTCTCTTTGGATGTCATTCCTGCTAACTGGCGCTCTTTGATACGGCTGCGTGCCCAGAGGCCGGCTCGAGGAAAGGTGATTTGCATAATGAGCCGAATTATTTAATTAGCGCGTAACCGGAGAGGTTGGTAATAAAGTCAAATATCCAGGAGGTGAACAGTCAGAAAGAATGGGGTGAATTGCAGAGGGGAGGTGAAATGAACATCTGGCAGCATTGGAGCCCGGAGCTGCGCCCCAGCCTGAGCTCCAGCACTGCACAGCACTGCACTGCACAGCACTGCACTGCACTGCACACGGCTGTGGCTCTGCCCGCACTGCAGTGCTGCGGGCTCTTGCAGGTCACAAGGAGGTTTTCATTGCGTTTGCTGGCGTTGAGGCAGAACCACGTGCTGGCTGAGCTGCTGGTGGATGTCCTGCGGAAGCCTGATCCTCTTTTTGACACGTCTTCTGCCAGGCCTGTGGGTCACTGCTGACACAGCTGAGCGGTGGTGGAAGCGGGCAAGCTTTCTATCAAACAGCTTTGTTTGGATGTTTCTGTTCAGTCAGCCTGGACCCTTCTGTGCTGGGACTTGCAGTCCCACGAGGCTGCGCTGCCAGCTGTGAGGTGGCAGTTTTGCCATCAGGAAGGCAAGGCTGTCAGGAACCCAGCCAGCTGGCACCGTGCTGTTGGGTGGGTAAACTGCAGGTATCCCCCATCACACCTGATGAGGAAGACCTTTTATTTTGCAATTAATTTTCAAGCGGCAGCTCCTTTTCTGACAAACTAATCCAAAATCTGTCAAAGGCCTCGAGATAATTCAATTATCTTTGTATCAGATCCTAGATAATTGATGAAACCTTGAGCTACAAGCAAGCTTGGCATGAATTACATTTACTGGACTGAAATTATCTCCCCCTTTTGGGAACGTGCAGAAAGGCTGAAGCTCCAATCCATGGTTCATCTTTCAGCCTCAGACCCTGGAGATTGGAACGGGGAACATGAGAAGCATCAGGTTGTGGAGTTTGTAACAGAACATGACAGATTAATTAACGGAGTAATCAGTTGAAATATGACTTCAGGACATAGGTTGGCCAACATCAGAGCGGTTCGACGACACCTCCCTAAATTAAAGTACTCAAAGGAAAATAGAAAGGTATCATTGCTTGGTAATTTTCCCCTCTCTATAGCTTGAAAACTAAACAAGCTTTTGTACATGAAAAGATTTATGTGGGATGTGCTTGTTTGGACAGAATTCATAAAGCAGAACAAGACTTTGTTGATAGCTTGGTGTCTTTGACTCACAGATAATTAATCACAGGGAACTGCCCAGCTCAATTACAGCACTCAAAAACCACATGTATAACAAACAGTGTTTCAGGCTTTTTCCAGTTCTCACATGAGAACAGAACGAATGAGAACTGAAGGGACAGAAGAGGCACTCATTTACTTACACGCATTTACGCGGTGTTGGGATTCCATCTCATATGTCAACTTCTCACTACTTTGGGAACACTGCAACAGAAATGGATATGAATAGATTTCAAAGGAAGGCAATTATCCCATGTAGGAAACCGAAGTGATTCCATTCAAACATTGCAGTCCCTCCTCATCTCCTGCAGCTGAGCGTGTGGCTGAGCAGGAAGGCCTGCTGCAGGTGGGGGATTGGCACAAATGAGGGCTGGGGGGCGGCTGTCTGATATGCCAGGGGCAAAACCTGAACGTGGGAGTGCAGTGCAGAACTGTGTGAAACACAACACGGCAGCCCCAGCAGGATGGCTGCAGCTGGGGTGTCTGAGCTCCACGTGTTTCTGCAAACCTGGGAACCTTGGAAAAGAACTTTTTGTCCCTTGTGAACTTTCCTCGAAGTTACGGACTTACAAGCACGCACAGCGCTTTTCAACGCGAGGAAAGGACGCATCCCCGTGAAGCAAGACATCCCCAGAAGCAGCGCAGCGCTGCATCCCCGCTGCTCTGTCCGAGGCTCGGCAGCGAAGCGCTGCTCTTTTCAGCGCTCCGCTTCGAAGCACCGCCGGCGCGCACCGCGAGAGGGAGCGCGGCCCTCGGCCGCTGCGTGCGGTACCGGAGCTGCGGGCTGCCCAGCGGGCACCGAACCCACGCGTCCAGATCTGACGGGAAAGATGGTTTTTTCCTTCTTTTCCCTTTCCCTTTCCCTTTCCCTTTCCCTTTCCCTTTCCTTTCCCCTTTCCACAAAAATCTGTCCAAGTGCCCTCACCTCTGCTTCATCTCTATGGACAATAACTGCCTGAAGCATGTTTGAAGATCCTGGGGCAGAATAAACGATTTTCTGCCGTGTTTGCAAAGGGCTCTGCCCGCGTGGGGGCAGCTGGGGGCTCCTTTGGGGCGACGGGAGCAGTCAGATCGGCGGGACGCGAGCACTGATGCTCAGCGCGTACTGCGGGGCAGAACCAAACCTGCCCGATCCGTGAAGTTTCACAGTGCCTGCTAAAACCAACCCATCAGCGCTGGGAGACGCACCGTTTGGATTCAAAGCCCCAGTTCCCGGCGATCATTCTGCATTTCACGCGCTGTAGGGAAACCCACACGATGCAATGGTAACGCTATCCCTGCTCCGGGACCCGGCCCCGTGCTAGGGACGTCCGGACGGCGCTCCGGGTGTGCGCATCATTCCAGAATCCCTTTACGATGCGCGAGGAATGCCCCCACATGAGCTGTGCAGGGTCACAGAGCAGGGACCCCCCTCTCCACCCCCCGGGAAGGTGCAGCCCCGGAGCCGCAGCGCTTTCGGGGCTGAAAATAACGCCACAAACGGCAACTCTTTGCGGAGCCGTTCCGCACGCGGAGAGCCGCGAGCTGCGGCGACGAAACGCCTTAACCCTCCGAACGTGCGCGCAGGTGACGGGGCGCCGCTCCCCCCGCGGGACTCCCCCTCCCCACCCCGCCCGCCGCGGGTGTCGCAACCGCGCCCGGCCTCAGCCGCGCCCCGTTCGGGGGGGGAGCGACGCGCAGGCGGCGCGCAGGGGGCGCGGGCAGCGCTGCCGGCCCCGCGCCCGGCCCCGGCGGCCGCTCCGCGCCGCGGCGGCTGCGCGGCCGCGCTGCGGCGCCGCCGATGCTGTCGGTGCCGGTGGCGGGCGCGGGGGCGGCGCGGGGCACGGGCTCCCTGCCCCGCCGGCGCACCATGTGCAGCGGCGTCGGCTGCTTCTGGGCTCTGCTCTCCGCGGGGCTCCTGGCCGCCTGCGCCGCCGCCTTCCTCTCCCCGGCCTGGCTGCTGCCGCCCGGGAGAGCCGCCGCCGGCTTCGGCTTGCTGTGGCGGTGCTCCGGCCCGCCCCGCGGCTGCCACGGCTCCGCCGGTCCCGGCGGCTTCGGAGACATCCCCTCCGGCTCCTGGCAGGTGAGCGCCTCCGCCCCGCCGCACCCCGCCGTCGTTCCCCGGGCTCCCCGGTGTTCTCCCGTCACCTCCCCGACACGCTCCCGCCCAGCCCCAGGCTGTCCAGCGTCCCCTCCGTCATCCTTTCTGCGCCCCCCCAGACCTGCCCCAGGCTTTCCGCTATGTCTCTTTCCTTCTCCTCGCCGCTTTAACCTCCCCCCGTCATCACCTGACCACCCTCTGTTCTGATCCAGGCTCCCCAGAACCTGCCTTAGCATCTCAGTGCTGCCCCGAGCATCCCGGCATCACCTTCAGACCCCTCGCTTCCCCTGAGCATCCCTGCTGCTCCCAACCACCCCTCCATCCCCCGCATCCCCGTCTCCTGTCCCCGAGCACGCTCAGAGTGCTCTCCGTGGTGAGGATGCTCGGCTGAGCTCGGGGCAGCGCACGGAAATCTGCCGGGCGCCTTGGTGCAGGTTGTGGGCAGTGCCGGCGCGGTGCACATCTCGGCCGCGGTCCCGGCGCATCCTGGCTGCCGCGTCCCTCATCTCCCGACCTGCCCGGGTGAGCTGCTGCATCTCGTATGGGAGGGAGTCAGGGCACAACAACAGGGTCTGGTGCTTCCAGGGTTTGATGCTTCCTGCTGAGGTTCTGGGCATTGCTTGCTGCCCGAGGTTGCTAACCACAACACGCGGATCCACCAACCAGTTCTGGATGTGGGGACTGCTGCTGTACCTCTGCCTGTCCAACTCCCTCTGCCAGGTATGGGAGAAGGAAGCCAAGGTCCCTGCACTTGCCCCCGTTGGCTGTAGGGTCGTGTGGTGTCCTGGTGTGACAAAGAGCTGCCTGTCCCTTGTCTGTGTGCACAGGGACCATCAGCACACAAAGCTCAGCCTTGCTGATGCAGGCTGCTTGCCCCTCTGCCCTTTCATCCTCCTCTTCTCCTTTCCTTTTACTCCAAGCTTCTCACTCAGAGGTTTTTGCTGCTGCTGCCCCAAGCACACAGCTTTGGTTTGCCCCAGGGCGCAGTGCTGTGGAAATCCCACAGTGGGGGTGAAAACCTCTTGAGGTCGTGGCACAGTGTGTGTCAGTAGCTGAATTCCTCAGCTGTTGTGAAGCTGTGCTGTTCTGCCTCCAAGGACGCCAGGTCTGCGTGTGATGCTTAAATCCTGTCACGGTCCTTAAAATTGTCATTAAAAACAAATGTTGTGAACTGTGAAGAGAAGAACCGGCTGCTTACAATCCCTCCTCCTTACATAAAAACATGCAAAAATGCCATCATTTCCATAAGTTGGCCTTTGTTCAGATGTTTTTGCAAACGTCATTCAGATAAACACTTCCGAGCAATAACAAACTTTCAAGATAAGGACGGAGCTCAGCAGTGACTCATTGGAATAAGCATCAGCTCCATGCAGCCTCAGCCATCACACAGCCCCAGAGCCAGGCTGTGATGGAGCACAGAGCCCTGAGCACCTCGAGTTGGGGTGAGCAATGCTGTGGCACCAAGTGGAATTTATAGGGGATTTTGGTGATGCATCTTTGTCACCTTTTATTAATGCCACCCAAATATCGATGAACTACAAGCAGTGCTGGCTGTGGCAGGGAAAAGTGCTCCCTTTCCAGCTTCGTGTCACGGTGAGGTGAGAATATCTCCAGTGGTGGCTGCTTGGTGGTGTGTGTGTAACAAAACATCCCTGGCAGATTGGCTCAGGCAGGCTGTGGCGTTGGCTCCCTCGTGTGAATGCCCGCACGTGTCGGTGCCCAGCAGAGCTGTGAGCTCAGGCTGTGAGATCAAGCAGGAGATTTTTCTTCGGGGAATCTGCGGCTCTTTTTTTCTTTGCTTTCAGAACTTGTGACATCCATTTCCATCCGTTTAAACAATCCTGCGGGCAGCTCCTTTAAATGAAAGCCAAGATCCTCATGCGGAGGAGAATCTAGGAGCTTTTGATAGCAACCACCAGCCCTTTGATGGAGTGGCAGAGCCTGGCAGGAAGGGTTTGAAGCTGCGGCTATGGGGAGTGAAGCAAGCAAAGCTGACACTGGGTTCAAGAGCTTCCAGTGCAGAGCTGGTGGCACGCCTGGGGGGATGCTGAGAGCACACCTGGGAGCATGGCCACCTGCAGTGCATAGGGTGGCAGCAACTCACAGCTGGGATGTGATTCTGTGATGTCCATCTCTGGGCGATGAGATTCTTTTTGTCTCCTGTGTCACATCATCTCCTGCTCAAATGTGCTGATGCGATGAAGTGGTGGGGGAGCATTCAGCCCTGTGAGTGATGGTTGATGCCAGTTGTGTGTTTGCACTTGGGGGATTATGGTAATCATGCTACAAATGATGCTTTGAATCATGTCTAGAGGTTAATTAACATGCCTTTTTTCTCTTAAGAGGGCCTTCATGTCTGCTTAGGGTTGCTGGCTTTTTTCTGCTGCCTTTTATAATTACTTTGCAGCTTTCTAATGTCTTAGGCACCTTTAATTAACCCTCTCAGCGCTCAGGCTGCGGGGGTGTTGTGCCCACCCCAACACCCAGAGATGCTGTTGATAACACCGGGGCAGCTCACACAGGATGAGACCTTTCAGGGGCTGTTGGAAACCAGAGGGGGGCTGGTGGGAGCCAGGCGAGGAGGTGGCACTGTGCAGGGACCAATGCTGATGTGCAGGAGCAATTGATAGAAAGGAGGATCTACTGTGGGAGCACTCTGAGCTGTTGGACACCGCGAGGATTCAGGCACCGACTGCTCTTTGCAGTCCAACTGGTAGAGCCAGGGAAAACAGGCAAGCTTTGGAGCCCTGAGCTGCTTCCCCACATTTCACTGTGTTTCTTTTTTTGTGCCAGATCTGTGCCTGCAGATGTGAGTGCACAGAGTAGTGCTTTAGGCAGGGATCTTTTTTTTTTTTTCTTTCAGTGGGAGCATTTGGCTCATGTGTTCTTTTGTCAGTGCTGCACTTTGGAAGCCAGTGCTGCTTCCTTTCAAATTTCTATTTTTATTTTTCCAGATAGTCTCCAATTATTTTCAGGCTTTGCCAAGCACATAATCTAAAATAACAGGAGCTGATCAGCCCATGATATTCAAGTTGAAAACGCATTGACCATTTGTTTATGAAGCCACTGAGCGCCCTGCTGGAGCACAGTACAAAATAACCCACTTAGGGTGAGGTGAAGGCTTTGCATGGCCCAGTGAGTTCTAAGAGTGGGTGTTTCCTGGGTTTTCATCGATAGCAGGGCTTGAAAAGATTCAGGGAAGCCTAGTGAAAATGCACAGAACAACTGCTTTCCCTTCTATTAGATGATGCTGAAAGGTTGAATGTACCTTCACTTTCTTATTCAGCTCAGGCACTGGATTCCTCATGTGTTCTTAGGTTGTCCTTTAGGTTGTAATCAGCTGAGAAATGGCCACTCACGACAACGATGAGCAGCTCATGCTGGCTCACCTGCCTACAGCCATTGGGACAAACAAACCCAGGGGGCCCAGCACCTCACACTTAGGGAAGGGCATCACCCAGGCACACTGGGAATGTTTGGGGTTGAACATTGCTCTTGACCTTCGTGAGATCCAGAGCAGAGTCAGGTACAGGATAGCAGTGACATGGCAGGATGCTGATGGCTTGACGTTCCCTCCATCTCCCTTGAGGCTGCAGTGCCTCTGTCTTTGGGCTCCTCTCCCACCAACTTTGTATGGAGAAGCAGATGGGAGAGCTGGGGGACCTGCAGGGCGTTCCTGGCCCCGGAAAAGGAGCTTGGCTTTGCTGCCAGTGCTGGAAAAGAGCTTATCCCAAGGAAAGATAATGACTGAGTGAGGGTGAGGAGGTCTGATTCAGTACCCAGCAACAGTGCACTGCTTGCTGCCTAATTAAAATTTCATTAAGTTGGTTCACATCCCTTGATAGAGGTCACAGGCACACCATTGATGTGCTAATGTCTTACTTTTCCCCTTTTTTTCCCTCTTTCTCTACTATCCATCATCCTCTTAGATAAAGCAGTGCCATTAGGAGCTGCTTTCCAGTGTCCCCAGATGCAATGGCACTGGAAGAGAGACAGCCGCAATTCATCAGACTTATTATCTGTCTCTTTCTCTCTCTCTCTAATTAAAATAATGCTTTTTTTTTTTTTTTCATTTTTCTTCCATCAGCTTGAGCATTAAACTTTCTGCTGCTTGTGTTGAAAACTCTGATTAATTTACAAGTGGGAAGGTTACCTGAAAGGCCAGGACTGGCTTAACTGTGGCTGTCAGGGGGGGGGTTGCTGAATTTTGAGTGCGAGCAGCTGAGTCAGGGCTGGGGAGCAGAATCCCATGTTCAGACAGCTCCCCATCCACCAAAGCCTTCAGTGAAAGAGAAAGAAAAGAGGAATGGAGACTCATTGCTTCCTCTCTGTCCCTGTGCTTCAGCACACACCCCAGAACAGACCACTGTTAGACACTGGTCACCCCCAGCAGCATTCTGCCCCAAGCCCCGTGTGACTGCAGGGCTGGTTTGGGGAGGTTGGACCTGCTCCCACATCCCCATTGGATGACAGCAGGCACTGCCAGTGCTGCTGGGAAGGGAACAGCATCCGCACAGGAGCAGGATG